AGCACATAATTAAATCAAACAAATCACATAAGCAATTAAGACAAATACACATATAATCATATAGCCACATAACACATAACCACGTAAGCGCATAATCACATAATTAAATAAAATGCAATAAAATAAATAATCAAATTCACTTTATGTCCTTTTAAAAACTAGGAGTATTACACATATTGTTTCAAATTTTACAGTTGTTATGAGGATGCTTTATTATAAATACAAATGAAATTTAAATAAATAAATAAACACCAGAAATGGGAAAACCAAGGTGAAATGGTGGTTGGACTAAGCATTAACTTGGGATTTTGTTTCATCATTACGCTAGATCTGAGAAGTAATTAAAGAAAAGCCTCTTCTTGGCCTGGATTAAAGAATTTATGAATGCCTTTTGTTAATTGAGTGCAGTCTTGCATAAAAATAAATAAATAAACACTTCACATAAATAAATAAAAAAAACCTAATGTATCTGTTTTCAGAATCTCTATCACAACTCATTTTTTAGGCTAAAAAATAAAATAAAATTCACAACTCATTTAATAATCTCATGTAAATGTGTACATACATTACAGACCTTGATAAATTAGGCGACACCATTATAGATTTGTGATGCTCTCGGATTTTTGAATGCGGGTTGGCCAGGCTCACTCCCGAACGACCAGGGATATCAAAAACAAATCGGCAATAATCGAATACAGAGTACAAAAGAATAAATAAGAATAAATAAAAATATTGAAATGAACACTAAAATGATAATCCAATAAATTTTCATTAATAAATAAAATTATTCTGATACAATATTCCTCTGAATAATACAACTTGGGAATCCATACTGTGTGGACCCCTAGACAATCCTAAACCAATATAATCAATGGTCAACAATTAGATATTGAATCATAAAGGAAACTGCTATGTAGATAATCCGAAAGAGTGAAGTAGACTACTCCTTGCTTAGCACGAATAATCTCTACTTATGACGAGCACCTGAAAAATAATGGTGGGTCAGACCCACATACAAGTTCTACTCAACTACAGTCCAAGCAGAGATCCGATGCACGTATACATCCTAGTCAATCCAACAATATCTAGTAGTCTATATATATATAAATACACACTACAAGATGCTCACAAGGCTATAGGTTTGTCTTAACCTGAATAATAGGTAACATACAAATCGCACATAAAGTGAGTATGAGTACCTAGACCTATCAGGGCACACAAATATCTATTATATCCAGTTAACCATCCTAAGTAATATACGTACCATAACCATGATCCTAAGACTCAAGCTCATATCATGACATATAAGTATATATATATATATAATTCGTCTATCCAAACATAAAAGTAATCCATAATATGTCATTCAACTGTTCATTGATCTAACACGAATAGGTAGGACTTAACATTTTAGTTAATCCATCCCTAGAAAATATGAATAGGTAGGACTTAACATTTTAAGTTAATCTGTCCCTAATATGTCACCATCCCATATTGGTGCATATAATGCATACAATCCATAAATGATGTAACAGATATAATATCACATCAAATAAATCCCGAAATAAGTATAATAGAAACCAGATATATCCATGATCATATTATGCAGCCAATACATGATTAAAATCGTTTAACCTCCACCTAAATTGCTAGAATAGTTTTAAGCAATTAAATCATCCATTATCAATATGCAAATTCAATTAGAATTTCATACTGGTTGATCCCTAGCATGATAAAATCAGAAACAATACATGATTATATTATATTGTCAACAATAATAATAATATTATTATTACTATCCATATATACGTATATCCCTATAAATATATATATATATATATATATATATACACACAATTATTCATGGGTAAATATCTATACTTATTAAAACTCCTATCCAAGTAGTCTATGGGACCCAAATGGTTGATCCATTACTACTATCTATATCCAACTTCTTTTAAAATAAAATAAAATCAACAAACAATTTAAATACAAATAAACACATAACATTTAAACAAATATACAATTAATTACATAATCATATCACGCAAATATACACAAATAAAACATACCATACACATCAAACAATTAAATCATTTAAGCACATAACGCATAAACACATAGCCACATAATTAATTAAAATGCAATAAAATAAATAATTTAATCCCATTTATATCATTTTGAAAATTAGGGGTATTACAATATATATATATATACATATACTACTATCTATGGGTAAATATTCGTACCCATTTATCTCCTATCCAAGTAGTCCATGCGACCAAATTGGTTAGTTCATTACTACTATCCATATCCATCATTTTAAACTAAAAATAAAATAAAATAAACATTTAATCCACCAAATAAAATTACAATTAATTCACATCATTAAAGCACACAATTTAATTAAAAAAAATAATATAAATAGCACATAGACAAATAGGTAATTAATTAAGTAACACTTAAATCAATTTAAAGATATAAGCAATTAGCCAAATAATCAATTAAACAATTAAAAATGCAGTAAAAATAAATAAATTAATACTGAGACTATCCTTTTAAAATTAGGGATATTACAATATTAGAGAAGAAAACTCAATACGAGCATAGGCTTTACAAGTAGGGGTGAATTAGTGTCGAGAAAAATGAAATCAACAAAACAAAAAAATATAGAGTATGATCGAAGAAGAAGACATAAATAGTATGCGAAAAGATAAGAGGGTATTTTTTCATCTAATACCCACCAAGTCACCGGTCTATTATGGAGTTTTGGTGGTGCTGGTGGTGGGGGGATGGTGGTTGTAATTGCAGAGGAAACATGTTTTTCGCGTTGGAGAGAATATGAGAGAGAAAATAGAAAGGGCATTTTGGTATTTGAATTTTATAAACAATTTATGTATAGATATTCATGTATACTTGATGGGCAAAACGTAGAGGGGGTGTAAGTGAAATATAGACAAACGTCAGGAAGTGTAGATGGAATTAACCCTAAAATAAAGGTATAAACTATTAAATTTTGATTGATTTACTTGTTTCTGATTAGAAAATTTTGCTTGGACTAAATCATATGCTCCACAGCATATAATCATAGAACTCACAAGTTTGCTTCATAATCCTAGAAGGTGATGGTCTGTGTTTAATAATGTTAACAATGCATAATGCTCGATTTGTTTATTTTTTTACATTCATAAGAATATATACTTGCATACTTTTTTTTTTTTTTGTTTGGCTTATATTTGCATTCAAACCCCTTTCACTGTCCTCTTTAAAAATTCCAAGGTTATTTTTTATATATATTTACACTTTTTTTTTTTTTTGGTAAGGGATGTAATTCGGATGGGTTGAGCGGGTTTGAACCCACCATATAAAATATTAAACTTAACCCCAATGAAACCCTAATTACTCAACCCGAGTCCAACTCATTATTTTATTTTTAAATTTAGACTTGCAACTCAAGTTTAAATTCCATATTAAAAATTGAGGTGAATTTGAGTTACTCATATTACTAATTTTCACATCAAAAATTTAATACGATGTTAAATTAATTTTAGATTAAATTACTCTTTTAAAAAATATATATATTTTATAAATTACAAACAAATGATTAAAAAATTAATTATCATAAATGTTATTCAATCACCCTATTTGTAGCTTCATCCATTCATACCAATACCCTAGTTATATCATTGGATTAAAATAGATTCAAAACGGGGGTTTGACATAAGTTTGTGCAGGTCCGAACCCGATTTCCGAGTGGGCAGGCCCATATCCAACATCGACCCAAATTTTGCTTGTTCCACAACACGTCTGACAACCACCACAGAACACTTTTTTATCTTGATGTACTTTGCACCAATGTACTTTATTTCTCTCTCTCTCTCCCTCCCCAAACAAAACCATCTCTCTCATTTTGAATGTGCAGATCTTCTCTCTTCTCTCTTCTCTCTCTCCCCAAACAAAACCATCTCTCTCATTTTGAATGTGCAGATCTACTCTCTTCTCTCTGTCTCTCTCTCTCTCTCCAAACAAAACCATCTCTCTTATTTTGAATGTGCAGATCTACTCTCTTTCACTCTCTTCTCTGTGTTTCCTTTCTTGTTTCTCTCCCCCCATGAACTAAGGTATGTTGATTTTTGAAACAACATTCCTTCAACACTTCTTTCACACTCTCTCTTTCCCTAAAGTTTTCTTCTCATTCTGCTCACAATATTTATTTGATCTTTGTTTTTGCATTTTTATAATTATTATTTTTCTACAATTCAACATCACACTATTTTTTATTAGCAGAAAATTTTCTTTTAAGCTTTTTTTGTTTTGTTTTTTTAACCATTTTTTTTTTCTTAGCAGAAAAATCTTAGATTTAGGTTGGGTGGATGTATAAGATCTAAACGAGTATGAAGTGCTTTGAAGAGATCGAGACACAAATATGGTTTTAAGTTGTCAGCTGTATCTACTCTTTTAGGTAACCGGGTTCTGAGAACCCTAGGCGACCTTATCGAACCCTAGGGTCTGTCGGCTGGGCACTCCTTTGACTCACAATTAGGTTTGTTTTATTTTTTTAAATAGTACTCCGTAATAACTATGATTTATTGGTATAGCTCTCTCTCTATATATTTTTGTATATTTTGGGTGTAAATTTAGGTAATAAATACTCAATATATACATAACCGAGTACTGTATCTACTCTTTTAGGTAACCGAGTACTGAGAACCCTAGGCGACCCTAGGTTCTGTCGGCTGGGCTCTCCTTTGACTCACAATAAGGTTTATTTTATTTTTTTAAATAATAATAACTATGATTTATAGGTATAACTCTCTCTCTCTCTATATATATTTGTAATTTTTGGGTGTAAATTTAGGGAATAAATATTTAATATATATAGATATTTTGCAATCTATAATTAAATTTTTATAAAAAATATTATTTTTTTCGGTGTAAATTTATGTAATAAATATTTAATATATATAGATATTTTGCAATCTATACAAATTTTTTTTTAAAAACTATTATTTAGAAATGTTAAAAAATTTAAAAATAGAAATATTCTCTCCCTTATAATTTTGATAAAACCCTTTAAAATCCCATATTAGATACAATAATTATATTAAAAATAGAAAGAAGACTTACTTATCTTGTACAGTAATTTACAATTTTTAATAATATAACAATTAATTAATTAATTAATAATTATTATTTTTTGTCCCAGGTTAGGTTAGGTGGGAGACCTTTCCTCTACTAACTCCGCTTTTGACCCTATCTCTTCGACAGACACAGAAACTTCTCCTCTCTCAAACACATCTTCTCATCTTTTACTTGCATCTTATTAGGTCTGATTCACGCTCAATCACCATCTTTCTCCACCACATCTTGTTTCGGAGATTTGAGTCTATATCGTCTTGGTATAGATGGTTTTTGCTTTCTATAATATGTTTATTTTTTTAGGTTTACACAATATCATTTACGGCTAAAGGTTTGAGTTCATGTCATAGAAATCTTAGATTTTCTTATTTATTTTTTCACAAACCATTTCATTTTGAGTCCATTTCGAGAGAAATCTTTGGATTTGATCAGTTTTTTGTTTTTGTTATCAGATTTTGTAAGACTCAAATCAAACCTGTACACTTCAAAAAAAAAAAAAAAAATCTATTGAAGATGTTCGGTTGTGGTGATTTGGTATTGTACGTTGCATCCAATTGGTCCCTTAGAATTGAAATTGGAGAAAATTTAGTAATTAAATTTTCTCCAATTCCAACATTAAGATACCAATTGGGTCATGGGGCTCCAAAGACCGATACCAACAAAGATATAACCATGATGGGTCATTTATCAGAGGCACAGATTAGAAGGGACTGGAGATCAATCCGAGAGAATCGAAATGAAAGGTTAGTTTTAACTTTTAAACGCGCATTGTGTTTGATCATGTGGTACCCAAACAGTATCTCATTCTACTACTAAACCCCCCAATAAGTAGCATAATGCTCAGCACTACTAAACCCCGAACAGGTTCACATCCTATTACTTCCCAGCACTACTAAACCCCGAACAGGATCACCTCACTCCCAGCACTACTATTAAACCCCCAAACAAACAGTATGACTTCATTTGGCATTTCTCTTCAAAAGTAGGGTAGGGTTTCATTCTGCTTTTTACGGAGAGGAGAACTAGGGTTTCGTTCAGATTTTTACACGAGAGGGAGTTATGAGGTGGCTTGCTTCATACGTTTGGAAGTCTTCTCATCGTCATCTTCCCTCCATTTCACCTAGGATTGTCTCTGGTAATTGCATCTAATCTCTACAATCACAAACCATTGCTTCTAAATAGTCCATTGCTATTGATTTTCATTTTATTTGGAGATTTAGATAATCTGTGTATATCTATGCGGTAAGTACCTTGATAGATCATTCTTGTATTTGTTCTTGTATTTTTGTGATGTGTATATGTATACTGTACCTTGTTATTAATAGATCGTTCTTGTATTTATGTGATATTGCATCTAATATCTACAATCACAAACCATTGCTTCTAAATAGTCCATTGCTATTGATTTTCATTTTATTTGGAGATTTAGATAATCTGTGGATATGTATACTGTAAGTACCTAGATAGATCATTCTTGCATTTGTTCTTGTATTTTTGTGATGTGTATATGTATACTGTACCTTGTTATTGATAGATTGTTCTTGTATTTATGTGATATTTGTATAACTATACTTAAAACTGTAGTTATTGAGTTTTAATACTTTACTTGCAGTAAAGAATGTCTATGCATATATGTGGTGTGGTCAGAATTTAAAAAATTCTAAGATTAAAAGGCTGGTTTTCTCATGACATTGTTTTAGGAATATTGCAAGGATGTTTGCATCTTAGAACTTTGGTATGTTGGCAAGCATATAAATAGATTGTGGTATGAATTTTTTGTATTTATGGCTGATTGAAGAAATTGTTGAAATCCTCTTTGGCACATATCTTAATTTTGGATTAAAAAATGGTTTCCAGTCTGTTATCAGAGGATTATATGCTTGAATAGGAAGTTGTATACGTGGATGTCCCTCCCAATTTGATTATTTACTCTATATCTTCAAGTCTCTCCCATCATCCATCTTAACATCCTAATTCCAATTATATGAACTTCTTGTTCATATTTCTTTTTTAAATCCCAACACTCTTGCTTTATATAATGTAGTTGGCCTAATAACTATTCTACAATTTTTCTCTTTTAACTTATTTGTTATTCTTAATGCATAAAAACCACTAGCCTGTTATGGCCCAAGTGAGTACCTATAATAACAGAGACCCCAAATCTAAACCGTTATCACCCAGGCTATATACCAGATGGGTTTGAAATCACCAACTAGATCTGAACAATAAACTACCATCAGCCTTAACCCAGTCAATCAATAGAGCCAGATGATAATGGAAGGCATTGGAAGTCAATCAATAGAGCCAGATGATAATGGAAGGCATTGGAAGCATGTTGAAACTTGCAACCGTATATATTTGATATTATAAGTTAAACTGGGTGCTCCTAATGTTATCCTAAATCATTCTCAAAATTCCCAGTCATTAATACCTTATTTGGAAGTTATTTCAGCAATCAGCATGCATTAGTAACTATGGAAACCCAGTAAAAGAAATGAAAAATCTCAAGCTGCTTTTGCAAAGCTATTTCTCACAATACCAAATAGTACAACTAGAAGCAAGTTAGGACCATTTTGGATTCTCTTAAAGCGACTTGAACAACAACTTTGCGCTACTTTTCACTTAATCAACACAATACATGCCATTAATTAAAACCATGTATGAATCAACCTATTTAACTTTAGAACAATAAATGTACATTACCTCATTTTCTTCACATCAGGCTCTTTACCCTCACTGTCACCAAGAGTTTGTGTACTTCTTGTTTATCCTGTCAAATAGTTAATAAATTATATAAGGGCAGCACAATATAACTTCTGAAAGATGAGAAAGGGTTAGATCTTACAAGATCCAGAGAATCTATGATGAATTTATAAAAAATTGAAGCAATCAAATTATAAATTCAACCTATCACAAGGAGTGCACTTAATGAACTAGAAGAAACCTGTTGTTGTTCCTGCTGCATTCCACTTGGGAGATGAGCTCTCACCAGCAAGAAGAGATTTTTTTTTGGCGTTAACTGCTTGTGTTCTTTATTAGGGTCACCTGTGCTTGATAGGGGTAAAGAATTATAATGGACTCTTGTTGTGAATTGTTCTTACTTGCATGAGCATGTCTGTCTGTTTTCCTTTCACACCAATGCTTGCATGAAAATCAAATGGGATGAATTAGTTTAAAATAGAATGAGTGTAATTCTTGGGTTGTCTTCTTCCGTAGGATGTAATCATGGTCTTCGTCCTTATCTGCAACAAAGGCCCTTCATTCTCGGTTTTGATAAGACCAGAACAATCTCCACTAGGGTCGCTCATGGGAAAGCACCGAGAATTGGTAACTATATCCCTCATTGGATCTTGTATACGTATTTGTTATGTAGTTTCTCTCTGATAATCTGTGACACCCTAAGTTTCTGCCAGATCATTTCTTTCATATTTAGTGGGTCAATTGCATTTATTTACGTAAAATTTTCTTTTATAAAATTTATGTGGGATATTTCTGTCACTTATATTCATGTAGTTGCTCTGTTATAAAATTTATGTGGGAGGTCCGCGTGATTTAGTCAAAGTTGCTTATGAGATAGGTGGTAGCCATTTTCATCAATAATTACCCTTTGTCCAAGCAATATGAAAATATTACGCTCTTTCGATATTTTTTCATTGATATTTCTGACTATAATATCGCCTGCTTTCCTTGTGCTTAGTTATGTCTAGAGTAGTGTTTTTATTTATGGTATTAACAGTGAGAATTCAAAGCAAGACAAATAGGTTACTTCTTGTTTATCCTGTCAAATAGTTAATAAATTATATAAGGGCAGCACAATATAACTTTTGAAAGATGAGATAGGGTTAGATCTTACAAGATCCAGAGAATCTTGAGATCCAGAGAATCTTGCTCGACTTAAATGATGAATTTATAAAAAATTGAAGCAAACAAATTATAAACTCAACCTATCACAAGCAGTGCACTTACTGAACCAGAAGAAACCTGTTGTTGTTCCTGCTGCATTCCACTTGGAGATAAGCTCTCACCAGCAAGAAGAGATGATTTTTTTTTTTGCATTAACTGCTTCTGTTCTTTATTAGGGTCACCTATGCTTGATAGGGGGTAAAGAATTATAATGGACTTTTGTTGTGAATTGTTCTTACTTGCATGAGCATGTCTGTCTGTTTTCCTTTCACACCAATGCTTGCATGAAAATCAAATGGGATGAATTAGTTTACAATAGAATGAGTGTAATTCTTGGGTTGTCTTCTTCCGTAGGATGTAATCATGGTCTTCGTCCTTATCTGCAGCAAAGGCCCTTCATTCTCGGTTTTGATAAGACCAGAACAATCTCCACTAGGGTCGCTCATGGGAAAGCACCGAGAATTGGTAACTATATCCCTAATTGGATCTTGTATACGTATTTGTTATGTAGTTTCTCTCTGATAATCTGTGACACCCTAAGTTTCTGCCAGATCATTTCTTTCATATTTAGTGGGTCAATTGCATTTATTTACGTAAAATTTTCTTTTATAAAATTTATGTGGGATATTTCTGTCACTTATATTCATGTAGTTGCTCTGTTATAAAATTTATGTGGGAGGTCCGCGTGATTTAGTCAAAGTTGCTTATGAGATAGGTGGCAGCCATTTTCATCAATAATTACCCTTTGTCCAAGCAATATGAAAATATTACGCTCTTTCGATATTTTTTCATTGATATTTCTGACTATAATATCGCCTGCTTTCCTTGTGCTTAGTTATGTCTAGAGTAGTGTTTTTATTTATGGTATTAACAGTGAGAATTCAAAGCAAGACAAATAGGTTACTTCTTGTTTATCCTGTCAAATAGTTAATAAATTATATAAGGGCAGCACAATATAACTTTTGAAAGATGAGAAAGGGTTAGATCTTACAAGATCCAGAGAATCTTGAGATCCAGAGAATCTTGCTCGACTTAAATGATGAATTTATAAAAAATTGAAGCAAACAAATTATAAACTCAACCTATCACAAGCAGTGCACTTACTGAACCAGAAGAAACCTGTTGTTGTTCCTGCTGCATTCCACTTGGAGATAAGCTCTCACCAGCAAGAAGAGATGATTTTTTTTTTTTGCATTAACTGCTTGTGTTCTTTATTAGGGTCACCTATGCTTGATAGGGGGTAAAGAATTATAATGGACTTTTGTTGTGAATTGTTCTTACTTGCATGAGCATGTCTGTCTGTTTTCCTTTCACACCAATTCTTGCATGAAAATCAAATGGGATGAATTAGTTTACAATAGAATGAGTGTAATTCTTGGGTTGTCTTCTTCCGTAGGATGTAATCATGGTCTTCGTCCTTATCTGCAACAAAGGCCCTTCATTCTCGGTTTTGATAAGACCAGAACAATCTCCACTAGGGTCGCTCATGGGAAAGCACCGAGAATTGGTAACTATATCCCTAATTGGATCTTGTATACGTATTTGTTATGTAGTTTCTCTCTGATAATCTGTGACACCCTAAGTTTCTGCCAGATCATTTCTTTCATATTTAGTGGGTCAATTGCATTTATTTACGTAAAATTTTCTTTTATAAAATTTATGTGGGATATTTCTGTCACTTATATTCATGTAGTTGCTCTGTTATAAAATTTATGTGTGAGGTCCGCGTGATTTAGTCAAAGTTGCTTATGAGATAGGTGGCAGCCATTTTCATCAATAATTACCCTTTGTCCTGGCAATATGAAAATATTACGCTCTTTCGATATTTTTCCATTGATATTTCTGACTATAATATCGCCTGCGTTCCTTACTTGTGCTTAGTTATGTCTAGAGTGGTGTTTTTATTTGTGGTATTAACAGTGAGAATTCAAAGCAAGACAAATAGCTTTTTCTTCTGCACGTGCTTTTCTTTCTCGTCAGAGTCGCTAACGCTGCTCCTCTTCTTCCCTACTGATAACCATAGGCGCGTGATCTATTTCATTTGCATCATATCTATAGCACTGCAAGGAGAAGTCCTCTCTGCGTCTGTAAAGCTTTGCTTCCCTATAACCTCTGTTGGTTCGGGTAAGTTTTTTAGATGGTGCTGCTGTGCCGTATCCCTTTTGTCTACCAGTAATCGATGAGGTTCAAGTAGCATGACGAAAGAAAGGGGGTCGATCAGCTACATCAGTCTATTTCTCTAGTGACGAGTGCTCCCGTTCTTGTTGAATCCGGTGTTCCAGAGTGGAAGTTAAGTAATCCGATTAGTAGACTAAGACTGAGAATTTCATATATAAAAAAAAGGAATTTATAGCCTACAAGCTCATCGAGTTAAAGACTAAAGACATAGCCACTGAGCTATAGCCGCTCTCTTACTTTCTGAGTTCTGAGTGAGTTCCTCTATTGCCCAATCCTTTGACCAGTCGTTTCGGTGACATGCCTAGCTCTTCTTTTCTCCTATGAGCAGTGTGAAGTATGTTGTTGGGAAGGAAAAGCTTTCTATCCATTCTCTGGCCAGTCATTCTCATGATTGTTTTCTATGGCCATTCTCGTTCGTTTTAAGCCACTTGAAAGACATCAATAGGTCAATTCCCTTGTGCTCCTCTTTGAAAGGCAGGTCTCATCATATATAAGGAATCTTCAAGTGCTCAATCTGACAAGCATACACGAAAATTCAACCCTTTCAATTTGGAGTCTCTACCCTTGTCTTTCTCCCTCCTCCGCAAAGCATTCTAGTGGGAGGCTTATTACAGATCAAGTTCAAGTCAACTCATCGGATAACCCTATGTATGTGGTAATCCTTTCTGTGCCAGATTCTGAATCTTTTTTCTTCTTTTCTTTGATATGTTAGGCTTCTTCCTTTTGATAGGGAGTACCCCATCCAAGGTCCAATAACATCGGAGTCTCCCTGGTCGTAGTCCTAATGGTAAAGGCAATCGTCAGTCAGCCCCTGGATGTTTTTCAGATCTCTCATGGAACTTTGATTGATCCCGACGCATTCCCGACTCTCCGGTATAATTGTTAACTAAATCTAGATTCGTATTACTCGGTATTATTAACCAAATTTAGATTCTAGACTCTCTCGGTATTATTAACCAAATTTAGATTCATATTTGAATTTGGAAATATATGAGAATATTAATTGATTTTGATATAAATTTAGAAATAGATCTGGATACTAATTGTTTTTTATTTAAATTTTTAATTAAGATCGAATAAATATAGTTGTTGTACTTGCAGTGGGATTCAGCCATCTTGGGAGGCTCCATGATGACCTTGTCTCGTCGCCTAGTACAAGACTCCGCTTTCTCTCTTCGATATCTATTTTAGGTAAGCAAGTACTCTAATTTAATTTATATAGATTGAATTGAATATGCTTTTTTCCAAATGGGCCAAATCTGAGCACAGATATATGTATATATGTAAATATTACAATGGAAAACAACAACATAGCTATAAATGTTAGCTATATTTTACTGTGGAAACATGTATGGAGTACTCAAGTTATTATAGAAATAGCTATATTTTTATTTAACCTTATTTTTATTGTATTCCCTCAGTTTTGAATAGGTGATTACTGTCTATTGCATGGATTTAACATGTTTGGTGGTGGTTGATATGAATTCTCAACAATTTTTTTTTTTTTTTTTTGGTTATCATATACATACATTTGCCTAGAACTGTTAAATTAAGATATAATGTACGTTTTGGACAGGTACAACCATAGATCTTAAGTGTCCTTATCTTAAGGATTATAAAAAGGAGTTCTTTGGTGGGGAGTACCAAAAAAAGTTGGAAGAGATTGGAAGGTACCTTGATTGTTTAGATTTGGACATTGGACAGTTGGAGGGTAGGGTTATTACAATACCTGATTTCATGATGTGGATTGAGTTTACTGGGGTTGACATAAATGAGATATACCGATGTATGAAAGAGCAACGCATTTTTGTTGTTAGATCTTCTAACACATATGTCGAAATTGGAAATTGTTATATTGAAAGCCTACTTCAATCTCCAATGGGAACCTTTAGATGGACATGTCCCCCTTGGGGTTGCTATGCGATGAATTCTGATGGATCATTTTGGAAGGGTCAGAAGGGAAAGGCAGCATGGGCTGCTGTCTTGAGGGACTATTCCGGTGAGATCCAAGAGATCAAAACAGGTTCCCTAATAACAAGTACATGGGGAAATTTTTTTGGAAAGCAAGTGGAAGAGGCCGAAGGTTATGGCATTTATTACGGGTTTGTTTGGGCCAAGAGGCTAGGCTATAAAAAAGTCTTCGGTTACTCTGATTGTAAATCTGTTGTTGATGCTATAAATGGTGAAAGGAGTTTGTATTTTTGGGATCTCAAGTATCTTAAGTTGTACAAAAAGGTGAAAAACATAATGGCTTCATTTGAATTCTGCACATTAGAGTGGCAGCCTCGTGAAACAAATGAGGTTGCTGACTTTGTTGTCAAACAAACGATGAGAGGCGTCGACTTTGATGAGGAAGAGGCCAAACGGCTTGCAAAAGAAGATCTGATTCACATTTATAAATGGAGTTGAATTCTGTAAGTAGTACAGTTTTTTTTTTTTTGGGTGCTAAAAGACTTGAATTTGGCAAGTGTTTGATTTGAGGAGTTTAGTATTTTGCTAAAGACTTGAATTTGTCAAGTGTTTGAATTTGTATTTGGAGAATTACTTTCCACTTCTTCTTTTGAAAACAGGTTCAATTTTATCATAGAGTTTGATTCTATCTTGCTGGAGTTATTTGATGATCAATTTACAATTGGTTTTCTTGCTGCTTTTATACCTGATTGAATTGTTTGGTCTTTTATTTTTTATTTTTTATTTTATTATTATTATCATTTCATTAGAGAAAATGCAAGACCGAGACATTTTAGTTTTAGATGAAAGGCTGAACAACATTTTTCAGAAAATTTGAGTTAAAGGGTCCGTGTCTTTTTTTCATAGGGCCTTCTTGTTCACACCATCAAATTAAGGGTCTCCCATAGCTTTCTTTACTGAAATTCTCTTTGAGATACTGCAACATCTTTTGTAAACACAAATTTGAAAGTGTAAACACACAAACAAGAAAAAGGAAAATTAAAAAAAAGTTATTGTTTATACCAATATAACTGAGCAACGAGGGTGGTTCAAACTTTACCAATAGCAGGTCTAGATCGTGTTCAAACGTACCAATTGCAAGTCTGGATCGTGTTCAAACTTACACATATATGTTCATCAGCTGTTCTGAATTCCTAAAAATTAACCAAAGAACTCTTTTAAATATTTAAATGCCGCTTTCAGATTCATGTGTTCCCTTGACATTTCTGGTACAGTTAGAAATTGCATTGTATATAAACATTTGTGACACAGTGATAGGGATATAAACTCATTGATGTTCCAAAATCTGACTCCCATCACAATTAGTACATAAACTGACCGTGATTTGTGATAAGCTCCAAGCTGGGATCATTGGAGCAATGCATGTTCCCACCAACAAGCAACCTACTGATATATTCACAAAAGGCCTTGTGCCAAGCAGTTTTATCACTTAATTTTTTTTTTTTTTTTTGGGTCATTGGCAAGAAATTTATACACCCACTTTGTTTATTTCGAGGCTCGAAACACTCACTTTCCATTTTGGGACGTAGAGGAGATACCGCTAGGCGCAAATTATTAACCCTTGGGTTGCAACACAATTATGAAATTCTCATTAAAAAAAAAATTATTCAAAAAAAAGAAAAGAATATGAAAGTGACAAAAGTGGGAGCAAGTCTCATAACAAACATAGAAGGTAAATTGCTTAAAAGTTTATAGTGAGTGACAAATAAATAATAAAAATGATGTAATTCAAAGTTTACACATTGTTAGACAACATGTACATTATCAGATTATATGCAGCCCCTGCCCAAACTGATTTGAGAGAATCCCAGTTGCTTTAATAAGTTGTGAATTTAATGGGAAAATTAAATATAGTCTGGAAACACACACCAATAGATCCATCAGCACGGGGAATAATCTGGAGGTTCTACAACCATCTTCATGTCTCCCAAAGAAATAAGCTGCTATTTTAATAGTTAGAGCTATAAACACCTTCTTCTTTTAAGCATGGCCTAATTATATGCTCTGTTTAATCTACTTTGCTTGCATAAAATTATCAGTTTCCGAAAGGTGCAAAATCTGCTTTCTCTCTAGTATCTTAATTAGGTATTTATACAAATCTAGTTTTGTGCATCCTAAAACCACTGTAGATTCATCATGTAAACTGATAAAAGTATAAGGTGAAGGGTTGAAGTCCATTAAGGGCAAGTGGGGGTGTGCTTTTCCTGGTAGTGAAAAAAAGATCCACTACATATTTTCCATGTAAATAGGATATTGCCTGAAACTATTGGCTCTTAATCAGATGTGTCATTTTTTCCTTCACGGATCCACTTTAAAATTCAACAGAGGATCTTCTTCTATGGTAAAGTTAAAAAGGGAACCTTGTTACTCAAATTAATCCACCCAAGTCCTTCCCCAACATGTTTAGCATACATATATTATAGCTGAAATTCAATTTTTATTGCAGTAGTGCACATATTACACAAACACAGATATTTGCAATTTACCTCTTGGTTCAATATATTGTATCAATGTGTATTATCATTGCTTCTACAAACATGGTGACAATCAATCTGGAACTGTGGCATTGATAATGCAGATTCCGAATAACAAGTCAAAATTAAAAATAAAAAGTAGAGAAATTTACTAGACCCCGTATACTTCTGAATTAGTTGATTGTAAATTAGCAAACCACAATCAGTCAATCAATCTTGCACTTGCACAAGCATTGCACACACATTGATACAACCACATAACTGAGTGCTATCACAGCAAGAAGAAACACTGCTGCATAAAATGTCAAACAGCAGAATCAGGACAATAAACCAAAGAAGAAGAAAAAAAAAAAATAACAAGTGCAACATAAGAAAATGCAGGGTGTAGCTTTTTTTTTTTTTTTTTTTTAAGCATAGAATGCAGGGGGTCGCCCATGTAAATCTCTTCACTCAAATGGCAAATCAAATTGTGGTGACAAAAAACAACAGAAACTGAATGCCGATCTGGTGAAAGATGCTATCAAGTCTTAAAAATATTTAAAGATTGGCAAGTTATTTGTCATTTAAATGAAGGAAGCTGAAATTGTTTCAACATGTTTTTAAGAAAATGCTAAGCAAGAGAGAGGGAAGGGGGTTTCGGGGTTGGCAACTGCGTTTTGCGCATATGGATCCGGGTTCTAACTTAAGTCCTTGCTGTGCTAGAGCATCTCCTTCAGGGCTACCCTTCTCACACACCCCCCAATCTCATACATCTTCCTCAATCTCAACTTTGAAACAACATATACAATGTCACACCATCAATTTTCTGTTTCTTTTAAACAGAAAAAGCTTTGCACTTAAAAGCCCTTCCCTGTTTGAAATTATAATCCCATCTCAAATTTCTGATGCCATCTCATTGTACACATAATTATAAAAAAAATGATCTTATTTTTGTCTCTTCAACCCATCTTCCCAGATTTTCTTTAAGTCACTATATGCTACTTCAAAACCTGAATTTCAAAAGAAGATCTCCCCTCAAAGTCATATAGGCATTTTCTTTTCGATCTAACATTTTGAATTATTTATGTTACTTTTGGAATGGGAAGAAGGGAGTGGAGTTGTTGAACTCACATTTTGAATTAATTTATGTTACTTTTAGTTCAGGGTTAGTTGCACAAAATCAATAATTCAGGAAGGTTTTTTTGCACTTTATTCTAATTTAAATTCTAGACTTGAATTACGAAGTTAAATTTAATCAAACTTAAAATTGTAAAAATAAATTATATTTCTGGATAAAAATCGAAATAAAATTGAATTAAGATTTTACAATATTTTTTATATCCGGTTCATCCTCCAACGCACCTGCCTACAACGTTTAACTAAAGCTAAACGTTAACTATATATGTATATATATAATATATATTTGTCTTAATTACGCAAAAAAAAAAAAAAAAAAAAAAAAAAAATATATATATATATATATATATATATATATATATATATATACAATACACTCCGTATATATATACTATTTCTCTGTCTTTTTAAATATTTATATATGCTTTAACATAATATTAGAACTGTTGTGGGCTATAAATTAGTGTAAATAATACATTGTTGAACAAAAGAAAAAAAGAAAAAACAATCAACGAAAAGAAGAAGAGGGAGTAGAGAAAGCGTTCGGAGCCATTTTTGGCGTTGTCTCGAGGATTTCAGGTCTTCGATTTCCGTTTCTCTATTTAGAGGTACACACTATATCTCCTTGTTAATTTAATCTTTACTGTAATCTCAATCTCTCCAGATATGCGTATTATTATTATTTTTTTGTTTTAAATTCAAGAATATAATTGATGCAAATCATAATATAATTTTTCTCTTATTTCTCTTGAGAACCCATATTTCTTTCTTAACGATCGCACTTGTCGTTGGGCTTTTTGTGGGTCTATCTATATAATCTCTTATTACATTGAGTTAGGTTTTCCATTTTCCATTCTAGGGTTCTCTCGACTTCAAAATTTTGGAAGTGCGTGTTTGGTGTATTTTGCAGGCTTAAATTATCATTGAACATTAGTTTGTGTGTCTATGGCCTATAAATACTTGTATTTTATTCTCAATCCATTTTGCTTTCACTGTAGAGTTAAAAATAGTTAGCCATGAATCTTATAAGTATCTACTTTCTCTATTATTATGAGATGCTTTCAATAAGTTAGGATTAAAAAAAAACTATGGGTTGTGGAAATAATTGAGAAATAACGCTTTGATAATTCCAGCATGGTGGCCTGTGTTATTCAAAATAGTTGCTCTGATTTTTATTTGCACAAGTAGCCTCCTGATTTATATGCCAAGTGGATGGTGGTATGAGTTGCATTCCTCCTGTTTATAAAACCGAGTAAGGTTAATCATTTGAAATCCAGTCCAGAATGGGCTTTCGTGCGACTTTTTCTCTTTAATTCTGAGAAGGATCACCTTAATTCTCAACTGGTCTTATGCTAATTGAGGCTATGGGTGCATTCTCTTTTTGGTGTTGAGAATATTTGAGATATTGCTTGATGTCACTGACTTATCATTGTGAATTAGAACAATGCACATGGCACCCTTCTAGGGTTCTCTATTAAATTAAATGTTTTTGTTTTTTATTCGACTTTATTCATTACCTTTCTAGGTTGGTTGATGGAAATTGGAGGCAATTCCCTACCATCTGGGCCAGGTGGGGTGAAGAGAAAAGTGTGTTATTTCTATGATCCAGAAGTTGGCAATTACTATTACGGGCAAGGTCACCCAATGAAGCCGCACAGTATTCGGATGACACATGCTCTACTAGCTCACTATGGATTGCTGCAGCATATGAATGTTCTTAAACCTTGTCCTGCTAGAGATAGGGACCTTTGTAGGTTTCATGCTGACGACTATGTTGCCTTCTTGAGGGGTATCACCCCAGAAACACAGCAAGATCAGCTGAGGCAGCTGAAGAGGTTCAACGTTGGTGAAGACTGCCCTGTATTTGATGGTCTCTACTCTTTCTGTCAGACCTATGCAGGGGGTTCTGTTGGTGGTGCTGTGAAGTTAAACCATGGATGTGATATTGCAATAAATTGGGCCGGGGGCTACATCATGCAAAGAAATGTGAGGCTTCTGGTTTCTGCTATGTAAACGATATTGTGCTGGCCATTTTGGA